GGGGTAGGCTGAAAAGTAATGCACACATGCTTGTAGAACGAGAACGAAATGATCTTCAGAAACCCACCAGATGGCATGTGGAAGTGACATTCCCCCTCTATACGCGTACCCAATTTGAATGCGTTTTCATCCAGTATATTTTAAGTACCGGAAGAACGCGAGTTAAACAGCGTGTTGTCGTCGAATTGCTGCTGAAAAAGTGGCTCCTTCTGAGATTCATCGTCGTTTAAAGACTGTTTATGGTGACTATGCTGTTGATAAATCTACTGTAAATCGATGGGTAATAAAACTTCGTAGTAGGGAGCGTGGAAAAGCCATAATTGTTGAAACACGCAGCGGACGTCCAATCACTGCCACAGACGATAAACATTGCAAACTCGTCGAATATTTGACTCAAAATGACCGGTGAATCACTTAAAAGCGTATCGCTAACCATATAGAAATATCCAAGGTTCCTTATTGAACAATTAGGATACCGTAAAATATGTGCATGATGGGTACCACACCACACCGTCTCACAGACTAGAGCAAACAGCGTTAATTGGAATGCTGCGAGCAACTTTTCCAGCGCTACCGTGATGAAGCAGACGACTTTCTTTTGAATATTGTGACAGAGGACTATTCAAGACAGACCGCTGAATAGACTTCCGTCTTTTCCTCTGGTGAAAAAGTTCAAAACACAACCATCCGCAAAGAAACATCTTTAGACTATGATTTGGGATGCTCACCTGGAGTTTATGTAACCAATTATTTGGAACAAGGAGCAATGGTATATTCTTTTCAGTACATAAAGACTCTAAAACACCTCCGACGTCGAGTTTGTTGTGTTAGAGGCAGCCTGGCTCAATAGTCTTACGAAACCTGAAATTTGAACCAATTCCACACCCTTCTTACTCCCCCGATCTTGGGCCTTGCGATTTTTATTTTTTTCCTCTACTCAAGATTGATCTCAAGAGTAATCATTACACCTTGGATGATGAGGTGAAGGCAGCTATCAAGTCTTGGATTCGAGAAAAGTCAGAAGAATTTCAGTGACGGAATGAAAAACTTATTAACTTTAGGAGAAATGTGTTAGTCTTAACGGTGACTATTTCGAAAAATAAATATAATTCTCGGGAAAGAGTGAAGGCTTAATAATCTCACAATCCTTTTATTAAGACGACTAGTTTCGAGGTCTACACTTTGCACCTCATCATCAGGTCATTACAAGGCTACAAAGTTAATTTTTTGATTATGCTAAAGGTATACAATGTTTTTAAAAAACTTTTAATAAATAAAACTATATGTGCATACTTACATATCACATTTACAAGGTTCTGTGCAAAATTTGGAAAATTCATCTAAATAACCAGTTTATCAATTGTATACTTAATAATATCTTCCTAACGTTTAATTTTAAAAAACATAAAACATTTACTGTAGACAATGACAATACACAGTTACAAGTACAAAACTTATTTTAAAATGAAATTTTATCTGAGAGGAATGAAAGCCAAAATTTTTTATAACATTTTTTCAAAGTTGTTTTTTCAATTTAACGAAAACACCATCTACTGGGTAAATAAGAGAGTACCATCTGTGACGGAGGTAGGCAACCAG